CATGTGCGTTATCAGTGACATATCGGGGTCTTTCCTCGTTTATCTTATATTACTAATGTTCTCTATGGTCATCTAAAAAGCATAGATTTTTCTTATTTTAAGGATACATCCAAAAGGCCTGTTATGAGCTTGAGTGACTATCGCTTGCTGCTCGCAACATACTGAACTACCTTTCCATTTCCGACGGCCAAAAGGTGCTTGTGTTCGATATTGAGTTTGACACAGTGGTGAGTAGTCCCATTTGAGGTCTAAGCGAACTCTGTCGAATTTTCGCTCCAAAAGTTATGACGGTTAAAGTCAGTTTGCATATCACAAAACTTCCAAAACAAAAGAACAAGAATGAAGCTTATGCGTGTAAAGCTTATAACAAAGTATCCGTTATCGTGATTCATTTCGTCATCAACATTCGGTCAGACGTTTTTTATATAATCGAGCGTGCATCCAAACAATATAAAACTTGAAATATGGATATTAGATACGAATTGAAATCAGTAATTTTGAGCATTTCTCATACTTAGTTACTCAATTTACAAAATAAACGCAACAAAGTCGAACAATGACTTTTTTCATTGATCTGCTTTATTGTATGGAGAAGAACTCTAATTGATCGTAAGGACAAATCTTGGAAAAATTTTCCATTATGCGTGGTATTAGACATACAGTCACTCTCAAAGTTGCGAGTCTCCTCAAAAAGCGGTTCTCAAGATGGTCCTATATGAAAAAAGCTGGTGCCGGTGAACTACCTTCTCTCTTTTACATACCCTATTTTCTAGATAAAAAAATGACTCTTTGCCGATATGGAAGTCAATATTGCTATAAAGTAAGCGACGAACACCATAGAAAATACAGTCATACTGGACGCAAACATCAATCTACATGTAAGTTTTCTCTCGTTTTTAAATTAGATTTTCTTATTATTTACTGCTTCTACAGGCCGCCTATTCCACGGCACAAAATATGAAAACGCCGAGTCCATTCTACAGAATGGTCTGCGTGAATCACCTGACGGAAGATTAGGTAAAGGTGTTTACCTCACCACTAAGAAGTGGGCACATAGAATTGCTGCTCATCGAGGAAACGGCATAAATCTGTGCGTTATTGAGCTCGAAGTAAAACTTGGTAATGTGAAGGTTCTGCACGGACAACAAGAGGATCGAAATGGAACATGGTCTCGCCATGACCATTGTGATTCTTGCCGTACAACGCATCCGGCATGGCCAGGACTCAAACCAGAAAAACCTTTCAAAGAGGTATGTGTACGAAGACCTCAACGATGCAGAGTCGTCAGGGTGGTTAAGATAGGCAATTTCACAGCCAATGGAACAATCCAACACTGTAATCAAGTGTTGGCTATCGGTAATGGCATGCAAGCGTTGGCCACGAGTATGGCCGGATTAGGTCAAGCATTTGCCACAGCATCTGCCGTCACCCTTTGAATTCTATGCAATTTATTACTATTCGAGAAATAAAGAAACTTTTTCTGTCTTTGGTTGGAAAATTGACTTCAGCTTTATCTCATCATGCTGTTCTAGACTTACAACTGATATGAACTACATATTTTCAAAAAATAAATGATAAGATGTGAGAAATTGCTTCCTGACATAAAAGTTCAATTATTTCAATGAATGGTGTGTATCCGCAGTTCTGCAATAAACAAAAGCTTTTTTTGCGCATTTCAAAATGTCCGGGCGGGGGAGGGGAGTAGACATAAACTTACACTCTGCATTTGTTCTGGAGAGACTTTTACAAAAAGCAGAATTTATTTATTCATTAAGAGGGCTATCCCCCTTACTAAGTCTCATAACAAATTAATGTGTAGACAAACAACATTGCTATCATTTTGTTACATATTCAACGTTCTTCGCGACATATGAGACTCGCAAGTTTGTAACTTTTGACGCGCTTTTGTATCAATGAAAATGAGACTTTTCCCTGCCCTTATGCAGCACTGGAAAGCAAACAAATCCCAGATAATGGTTCACATTTGCCGCCCTTACATATTATTCTTTTTATTTTCAACGCATTATCTGTTCTTGTAACGTGCGCACTTCCTGTTCAGGATCAAAGTGCAAAGTAGCACTAGTTTCTTCTCGTTTAGTTATGTGCTACGAACAACAAGTTTTCTCATAACAAATTTTATATCAAAGTGGTTTGAAACGACCGAATAACTGGAAAAAGATATGAATCTTAAATTTGATTATTTTAAAGTTAATTACTTGACTCACCTACTCATAAAAAGATGTGCTTGAAAGACTTTCTTGTAAATAGCATTTTGGGACCGGCCTCTAGAAAATCTTTTCGTGATTGACTCTTGAACAAAATATATCGATTATTCTTCGTTTGCTAAAAAAATAGAGCTTTTGGCGATTCTAGATTTACGGAAAACGATTTTTTCTAAGAAGATTAGAGTTAAGTTAAAATTTTTTGAATAATATATATATATACACACATCGAAGTCAGCACTGTACAAATCTCTCCTCCGATTTATTGTAGCTACTAGAGTTCAAGAGAAAGAACAAAAACAATCTTGTTGTTAAATTTCTTTCCGCTACTTTACTCGTATTCTTCATCTACAGTTTCATCGTCAAGTGAAGATAGTCAATCATCCGGCTCTCGTTCGTCTTCGATCTACTAGCGAAAGGCTAATGACGTAAAAAGTTCGAGTGATCAATAACATCATGAAAAATATTGCATGAAAATACAGTAGTATCAAACTCGAACGTTTTATTCTCGAACTTGTTACTTTGGGAAGGATTAGATTATAGCTGGACTAGGCAAGAAAAAAACATTTTCTCTAAATGTGAAGGAGATGAGATGATTGGGCAACGCCGATTAAAAGTCATCATCTTTAATCTCGGCATCATTTTGACTCTCTCGACGTAATTTTCCTCTATGCACTGGATCGGTGAGATCTCTGCACTAGCATGAAACTATGCTTGAGCATTCTCCCTTAAAGGTTCCAACGCAGTCAAAATCAACTTATATTCATCGATTCAACTGAAATATGAAAGTATGTCATATACGTACGAACAATCTATCTGTCAACCTTTTTCTTTACGTGAAATAGTTGCATCGAAAAAGAAAAATCGCGGTGCAAATGTGTTGAGATATCTCAGTTATTGTGATCTTAGTTAACACAATACGAAGCTTTTTCAAGATTGATTCAGTTTATTTATTCATTTTTTCTCTTGCATAAACGTTCACAGAATATTACTTGACGCAAAATAAAAGATTTCTTCAGCCATTATAAAATTGGCTAATATCAAAAACAAACAAAGCCACGAAACCAAATTTCACTCACGAAGTGAATCGTGGCCCTCAGTGTGAATATGATGGCAAGCGACTTCTGACTGATTTGAAAAAATTCGCGTCAACACTTCGAAATGTTGATATGCCGAAAAAAATGAATGCTCAAGAATATCAGGAAGCGCAAGAAATTGATGAGCACGTGAAATTTCTTAGGAATGATGCAATCGTGTTTTGAAAGTTTCAAGCACCGAAGATGTTTGCGATTTGATTACACTTTTGATGTATTGTTGTTTTGTATGAGAAAAAGTAACCTACGTTTCAACACATCTCATG